TCATTGAAAAGACTATACGTATTTAAAAGCGGCAAGCAGACAAATATTTTAAAAGAATTAAACAAGTATTATAATAAAAAAAAAACACCAGGAATTAAAATCAGTGTTTCTCCCTAAAAGTACCCAAGGCAGCTGAGTTCATTGAAACAACTATACGTATTTAAAAACAGCAAGTAGACAAATATTTTAAAAGAATTATCTCAGCCTTTGTTAATGAAAAATGGTAGAAAATTGTTTTCTCTTTTTTTCAGAGGATGGTTTAATACAAGATTTCCTATCAATGGACACATGTTATAGAATCTCAGATAAGGTGAGTTTTCCGTCACGTGATTAACCTAAAATTGCTGTTACAGCATCGTGGCCGTTTCAAAAGATCATTGGAAACCAAATTCTATGTCATAGCATGATATGTTCCCAGAGCTGGGAAATAAGCTATTAAAATCAATGTGTCATACCTAATTTGATAATTAAAAAAATAAGAGTTGTAACTGAAACTGTTAAATGCCATTGACATTAATGGACTGAATAATAACCCATCCTTTCATTATTCCAATTAATTAATTTTTGGAGAGTACTTATGAGGTGGTGGTGGCCATTTTTAGTAATTTTCATTTATTTTTGTAAATATATGGTGTGCAAAAAAAATATATGTTACGCTGCTCACCTTTTACAGGTGTAACTATGCAGTAGGATTTTAGCCGGCATGAGATCTCTGAGTCTTTGTTCGTTACAGGTGGCGTTTCTGCCTTCTTCCTTTTCCCCATTCCACCCCTTAAGTTATTATTGTGGTCCAGAATGGAATTTAGTAAGACTAATCCTCTCTTTCAGTATCTTATCGCTATGGCTCTGATGTACTTCAAACGTGCTGGCCTACATATGAGGGAATACACACGGATTAATCTCTTCGTTGCTCTGTAAGTGTCTTGTAATGCTTTGGTAAAATATAAGGGTCCTTAATTGGAACATGCTTGGAAAAGGTTGCAGGAAGGGCCCCTTGAACGTGTTCTAGGTCTCCAGCCACCCTTTTCTGCTACAGTGGTGCCTCGCTTGACAATGTTAATTCGTTCCAGCGAAATCACTGTAGAGCGAAAACATTGTCAAACGAAATTAAAACCCCCATTGAAACGCATTAAAACCCGGTTAATGCGTTCCAACGGGCTGAAAACTCACCGTCCAGCGAAGATCCTCCATAGGGGCAGCCATTTTCCATGCCTGTGCAACGAGGAATCCGTCCCTAAGCACAGCAGGGGGCCATTTTCTACAGCCGGCGGCCATTTTGAAACCGAGCGATCAGCTGTTTGCTGATCGTCGTAAAGCGAAAATTGGTTCCCGAAGCAAGGAACCGAGCATCGCAAAGTGGAAAAAAACCCATTCAAACCATCAAGCGGATTCGTCGTTAAACAGGGTAATCGTAAAGCGGGGCACGACTGTATAGTGTCAAGTATCCCAAGGTTCAGGGAAGCCCACACTAGCCACTGTGTCACACTACCCTGGTGATCATGTAGCACCATCCAAATTCTATCATCTGCATATCTGAGGTTGTTGATATTTCTTCCAGCGATCTTAATTCCGGACTGGGATTCCTCCAGTCCAGCCTTTCGCATGATGTATTCTGCAAATAAGTTAAATAAGCCGGGGGACAATATTCATCCTTGTCGTACTCCTTTCCCAATGTTGAACTAATCAGTTGTTCCATATCCAGCTCTAACTTTTGCTTCCGGTCCCACGTATAGGTTTCTCAGGAGGTAGATAAGGTGATCAGGCAGTCCCATTTCTTTAAGGACTTGCCATAGTTTGCTGTGGGCCACACAGTCAAAGGCTTTTGCATAGTCAATAAAGCAGAAGCAGATGTTTTTCTGGAACTCTCTGACGTTCTCCATAATCCAGCGCATATTAGCAATTTGGTCTCCAGTTCCTCTGCCCCTTCAAAATCCAGTTTGTACTTCTTGGAGTTCTCAGTCCACATACTGCTGAAGCCTAACTTGTAGGATTTTGAGCATAACCTTGCATGTGTGAAATGTGTGCAATTGTACAGTAGTTGGAACATTCTTTGGCACTTCCCTTCTTTGGGATTGTGATGTAGACTGATCTTTTCCAATCCTCTGGCCACTAATGAGTTTTCCAGACTTGCTGGCATATAGCGTGTAGCACCTTAATAGCATTGTCTTTTAAGATTTTAAATAGTTCCACTGGAATGCCATCACCTCCACTGGCCTTGTTGTTAGCCATGCCTTCTAAGGCCCACTTGACTTCACTCTCCAGGGTGTCTGGCTCAAGGTCAGCAACCACATTATCTGGGTTGTCCGGGATATCCAAATCTTTCTGGTATAAATCCTCTGTGTATTCTTGCCACCTCTTCTTGATGTCTTCTGCTTCTGCGAGATCCCTACCATTTTTGTCCTTTATCATGTCCATCTTTGTACAAAATGTTCCTTTAATATCTCCAATTCTCTTGAACAGATCTCTGGAAAATATGAATACCCAATCTCTAATGCACACCCATCTCTGGCTAGATAGCCAGGTACAAAAAGGTGAAAGGCAACTTCTGCATTTAGCAAGTATGAAAAAGAGGGAAATGCAAATTGTGTGAAGATCTCAGAATGTTGCAGTTGGTGAAATTCCATCTCCTATTGTAAAGGTCTATGGCCAGAAATGATAAAGTTTTTATACAGTATATGTATCTTCTCCTACTTCTAAAGGAACTTGACCTGGCCTCTCTCTCTTGCCCAAAGGCAAAGAATGGAACCTTCTGAGGTCAGAAGGCAATATATTTGTAGGTCTAGAATAAAAACTTTCTCATTTTGAAAAAAAAATAGTCTGACCATCCTTCCTAAGTACTGAAGAAACCCTTTTTAAAATATTGAAAGAACTCGGCTTCTTTAAGAATTTTTATTCAGAAAGGACTAATCTCTGCCAGGGAACGTCTGCCACAAATTAAGCTGTAGGTCAAAGGAGAGAAAACAAATGCTTTCCCATGCAAGATGCTCAGGATTTCCTGCACTAGGTCAAGAAAAACACACCTCCCCATTGTCCTAGTTTATATCACAGAGTGTCCTTGTGTGCCTTTGTGGATTTCTAGTCCTGGTAACTAAGGAAAACTTTCCGGAAAAGTTTCATACTTTGTATTATGTTTTCTAAGTTACAGCCTCATTGTTTTTGATAGATCTAATACTTTTCTTTAGCAAAAAAAAATATCTATGCATTTATAATTGGCTTATAAGCTGTATTTCTGCAGCATTCATGGCTCAGTCATTTTTGGACTTTTGCCACCAAGCAAGTTTTATCCTCATGAAGTCCTACCTAATTATTTTTTTTGCAATGGCTGTATCCCGCAGAAATAATTAGGAAGTGCATTCAGATTCAGGAAGGTTTGAAATTCAATGCATAATGCCATATCCAGATATTTTCAGTTATATCTAAATCTCTGTAATAATTATCCCCAATATTCAGGATCCCATTTATTCCTATGGATTAGAAAGCAAAAGACTAGATTTCTACTTGCTAGAGAAAGAAGTGAAAGTGGAACCTTTTCCTCAGGCATCCTCTGAATGGGTGCCTGTTGGAGGACTCGGGCTTTGAAGCACTGAAAGCCTGTTCAGTGAATAAATGAACTGGCGTGAATCACCAAACTGGCAATCATCCCATTGATTTCAGGGGCTGTAAATATGAACCTAAGTATGACTACATCTGGATCCAACTCTAGAATGGAAAGCATAAACTTACCCAGATTGTTCAGTGGCTCTCTGAAATTGTCCATGTCCTTCTGAGCCCAATTTAAGGACCTAAATATCACCTTTAAACCCTTTCATGGCTTGGAATGACATGATTCCACCACATCTTTTAATTTACATTTTTCTGATGTTTTTATTATGCTAAAACAGAAGAAACAACAAACAAAACTGCCAAAAAAGGACACAGAGCAGAAATAGATGTATTACAGTAATAATAAGAACGATTTACACTGGGGTTTTTTTTGCCAAAGTATTCTGTGTATTTGGTGCTCTGAATTTATTATCTTTTTGTAACGGCTAGCCTCCTTGTTGCCTAGATCATGTTGAGGAAGCCTTCTCACTGGGCATGGTCCCGCGAACGAGCCGCTCACCACAGTGGGGCGCTGAGGAGTTACTTGAAAACGGACAACGACTTGCTCCCTAGGGGGCCGGGGGTAACGCCCCCAGTCTGCCTTCTCTGTGCCTGCGATCTGGTAGAAGAAGATACGGAAACAGCTCCCTCCCGCAGCAGCGGGACGCCTGCCACGCCACCGACCCAGGATTTGAACAGCTTCCCTCTTCTGACGGTAGATCTGGAAACGGATTATAGCGTGCTGAGTAAGTACTAATAATGCCTTTTTAACTTGATGCACGTTCTAACTGAAAATCATAAACTCATGGAGTTGGAAGGGACCTTTAAGGCCATCCAGTCCAACCCCCCCCTGCTCAGGGAAGGAATACAAATCAAAGCAGAGCTGACAGAGGTTTCTCCTGGTTTCTCTTGAATGCCTCCACAGCGCTGTAGCGCTCACCGCCTCCCGAGATCATCGGTTCCGTTGTCGTACTGCTCTAACAGTTAAGAACTTTTTCCTGATCTTCAGCGGAAATCTGGCTTTCTGTAGCTTGAGTATTATGTGTCCTGCTCTCTGGGGTGGTTGAGAACAGGTCCTGTCCCTCCTCTGTATTTCAAACATTTGATAAGTGCTATCCTATCTCCTCTCCATCTTGTTTTCTCCAGGATAGACGTGCCTAGTTTGTTCCATCTTTTCTCCAAGGCTGTGATTTCCAACCCCCTGATCATCCTTATTGCCCTCCTCTGAACTTGTTTGAATTTGTCAGCATCCTTCTTAAAGTGTGCTGTCCGGAACTGGACACAAGACTCAAGAGGAGGCCTAACCAGTGCCGAATAGCGATGAACGAGTCCCTTGTGGGGTTTGCACCTTAAATCTAAACTGGGTGGTTCTCTGGGGTGAGGACAGGCACAATTTAAATGCTGAAATGGCAAGTGGTCAGTTTATTGAATTTCCTAGTGTGATATATTGGATAGAGGGACGGACTAGGGCTCTGGAGAAGAGGGTTCCAATTCCCGCTCAGCCACGGAAGTTCACCGAGAGGGAGTCGAATTGGTCAAACCACTCCTTAAAGTATCTCACTTACCTCGAAAGCCCTATTAGGGTTGCTATGTCAGTTCCGAATTGACAGCACAGAATACACAAGTTCTACCAATCCGTGTGTTTAGCAAGATTTCTGCTTACAGTGGCGCCTCGCTTTACGATTGCCCCGCATTACGGCGATCTTTCTGTGACCGCAAAATGATGGTCTGAATGGGATTTTTTCGCTTTGCGGTGATCGGTTCCCTGCTTCAGGAACTGATTCTTCGCAAAGCAACGGTTTTCCTCCAGCTGATCGGCGGTTTCAAAATGGCCGCCAGGTGAATAAAATGGCTCCCTGCTGTTTTCTGGGAGGGATTCCTTGCAAGACAGCCACGAAAAATGGCCACCCTATGGAGGATCTTCGCTGGACGGTGAGTTTCCAGCCCATTGGAATGCATTGAAGGGGTTTCAGTGTGTTTCAATTGGCTTTTTATTTTCGCATTACGACGTTTTCGTTCTACAGCGATTTCGCTGGAATGAATTAACATCGTAATGCGAGGCACCACTGTACATGAGAAAGGGAAACTTTTTTTGTTAATATAAATATTTTTTAAAGCTTCTAGAGTATTGTCCCATAATTGTCCCAGTCCAAAGTGATGGGTAGGGGCTTTCTCTAAATCAGAACCTATGGTTGCTGCAGCAGTGGGGGGGGGATTTCTGTGTGTCAGCACAGTAATTGGGACCTTGACACAGCCACCACCTCCCTGTCCCCCCCGCCCCCCAGCTGCCAGAAGAAGGGGCGTACCGTTTTCTGCCAGATGTCAGAATTGATGGTTTGTCAATGGCAGTCTGCAACTGTTTTTAATATGGGTATTCCGTCAACTCAGCAGTAACCCCATCGCTAGTCAGAACACTCCTGCGTTCAAGATAATAATCAATCAAAATGTAATGTTGTGGTTATATTCATCAAATGTGTAGCTTCTAAACTCTCTGCAAGGTTTTAAGATTTCACCTTAAATCTTTTGGCTGGCAGTCCTGCAGGAATCTGATATGGAGACGGAGGGAACAGACAAGGACGGCCAGTTCCTGGGCTAGCGTCCGGTGGTCAAGGCTCTTCTCCACACAGACATTATTTCCGTTCTCGTTGGACGTTCCTATGGACGTTCCTGTTTTTCATCTCCATCTGCAGTGATTATGCACTGTATCTTCCCGTTCATAGAGAGAACACACAATGTTGTATTTGTATGTATTTAAAAAAAACAAAAACCCTAACAAACACGGGCTATTCAGTACGACTCGTACAATGCCAAATACACTGGCTGGACAGACTCCTAATAAAAAAAAACTATCTAGGAGAACAGGCTAACGTCGAGAACTTTTAATGATTTCTGATTCACCAGCGGTTATTCATTTATTCATGGTGCATTTTTATGCTGCTTTTCGGCCAGAGGCATTCCAAAGCCCGTTTATCTTTTCCAAAAAATATTTCCTTGCTGCCAGGTTTACATTTCAGAAGAGAAAAGGGAATGAGGGAGGAGGTTCGTTTCTTAAGAGGGTGCTACTTCATAAAGTTACAGCCCTTGTAATGGTCGCTTCGGATGAAAACATGGAATGGCCACTGCTTGGTAAAGCAGGAGGGCAAAGAAATGCCAAACCAAGACTGTCTTTTAGTAGAGAATAGGTTTGCATCCTTTTTCCCCCCCCTGGAATATCTTATGCTTTTGCCTTTTGAAATGTATTTATTGTTATATTGTTACTGTTACCTGTTATATTGTAACAATGTTACAATATTGTTATATTGTTACATTTAAAGTTACATTGTATTTACATATAAAGTTACACTTCCCTTGGAAATGGTGTTCAAAATACTGTAATCTACTAACACGGAATGATGCAAAAAGATAATTTGGACTAAGAAAATTAAAGCCTAAAGAAGTAATCTACTAACACGGAATGATGCAAAAATTTGGACTAAGAAAATTAAAGCCTAAACAGATGAAACTCTTAAAATTGTTAAGGACAAGTGAGAAGCAAACGTAAGAGGTGATCGGATCAGAATCCTAAAAGTAATCTTCCAGTAAATTGTCATGTAGAGACAAAGATCTATTACAATAATCAGTGTAAAGAAACAACAGGAGGGAGGAAATGAGAGGCCTCCTATAAACATCCAAGGAAAGAAATTAAAGGGAAATTTGCTCAAAGATCTAACCAAGATAAAATAAAAAATATAGAATTCCAGTAAATTGTCATGTAGAGACAAAGAGATCTATTACTGTACAATAATCTGTAAAGAAACAACAAGAGGGAAGAAATGAGAGGCCTTCCATAAACATCCAAGAAATTAAAGGGAAATTTAACTCCGGAATAGGGGTGCTCAAAGATTAACAGGGAACATATTATCTAATCAGGATAAAATAGAAAAAAATATAGAAATAGTCTGCTGAAGAACTATACAGAAGCCATGCAAGGATGCCAAATTCCTTTGAAGAAGAACCATGTGATGAAGAACCTAGTTTTAGAAAGTGCAGTGAAAGCTACTCTAAAAGCATTTGGGGAAAAAATAAATCACCAGGAATAGTTGGGATACCAATAGGACTGCTCTAAAAGCATTTGGAAAAAAATAAATCACCAGGAATAGTTGGGATACTAATAGGATTATTATTTATTTAAAATATTTTTACCATGCCTTTTTCCTTAGAAAGGTGTCACGGTGGCTTACATCATTAAAAGACAGTATGTTAACCTAACAACAGTGATTACACAATACTGAAAGGATCAAACAAATGTCACACTAAAAATGGTAAACAAAAACAACACCAAAACACATTAAAACAGTATAATATAGCAATACATTTAACAAACCCACTCAGTCAGTCACTCACCCCAGGAAAACTTCGCTTAACGGTGAGTACAGAAGCCATTGGAACGCATTAAACTAAGTTTAATGCGTTCCAATGGCATTTTCCATCCCATTTAGCGATGTTTTCTTATAGCGATGGTTAATCCGGAACGAATTAACCTTGCTATGCGGGGCACCACTGTATTTAAAATATTTTACCATGCCTTTCTCCTTAGAAAGGTGTCACGGTGGCTTACCTTACATCATTAAAAGAAAGTATGTTAACCTTACAACAGTGATTACACAATATTGAAAGGATCAAACAAATGTCACACTAAAAATGGTAAACAAAAACAACACTAAAACACATTAAAAATAGTATAATACAGCAATACATTTAACAAACCCTACTCAGTCAGCCAGTCACTCCAGGAAAGCTTGCCTGAAGAGAAAGACAGCAAAGATGGGGCCAGCCTGGCCTCATGTGGGGAAGAGTTCCAGAGTCTGGGAGCAGCCACAGAGAAGGCCCCCTCCTGAGTCCCCACCAAATGCACCTGTGAAGGTGACAGGACTGAGAAAAAGGCCTCCCTTCATGATCTTAACACACGAGCCAGCTCACTATGGGAGAGATGGTCTTTGAGATAGTTTGGACCCAGATTAATGAGGGCTTTATAAGCCAGAACCAGCACTTTGAATTGTGCCTGGAAACAGATTGGCAGCCAGCGGAGCTGCTGTAAACAGGGAAATGATGTGATCCCCTGTGACCCACCCTATCAGCAACCCTACTCAGTCAGCCAGTCACTCCAGGAAAGCTTGCCTGAAGAGAAAGACAGCAAAGATGGGGCCAGCCTGGCCTCATGTGGGGAAGAGTTCCAGAGTCTGGGAGCAGCCACAGAGAAGGCCCCTTCCTGAGTCCCCACCAAATGCACCTGTGAAGGTGACAGGACTGAGAAAAAGGCCTCCCTTCATGATCTTAACACACGAGCCAGCTCACTATGGGAGAGATGGTCTTTGAGATAGTTTGGACCCAGATTAATGAGGGCTTTATAGGCCAGAACCAGCACTTTAAATTGTGCCTGGAAACAGATCGGCAGCCAGCAGAGCTGCTGAAAACAGGGAAATGATGTGATCCCCTGTGACCCACCCTATCAGCACTCTGGCTGCTGCATTTTGGACCCATTGAACTTTCTGAACACTTTTGAGAGGCAACCCCACATAGAAAGTATTACAGTAATCCAGTCGGGATGTAACTAATCCATGTGTCAGATCAGACGTCTCCAGGATCAGGCACAGCTCACACACTACAGTGGTGCCTCGCTTAACGGCGATAATCCATTCCAGGAGAATCACTGTTAAGTGAAAACATCGTAAAGCGAAAATAAAAAGCCCATTGAAACGCATTGAAAACCGTTCAATGTGTTCCAATGAGCTAAAAACTCACCGTCCAGCGAAGATCCTCCATACGGCGGCTATTTTCAGTGCCTGTATAGTAAGGAATCTGTCCCTAAACACAGCGGGGGGCCATTTTAATTACCCGGTGGCCATTTTGAAACCACCATCAGTTGTTTAAAAAAATCGTTTTGCGAAGAATCGGTTCCTGAAGCAGGGAACCGATCATCACAAAGTGGAAAAAAACCTATTTAGACCAGTGTTTTGCAATTGCAAAAGCGATTGCAAAAACGTTGTCGTGAAGCGGATTCGTTGTAATGCGGGGCAATCGTTAAGTGAGGCACCACTGTACTTTAAATTGTGCAAAGGCTGTCCTGGGCACCACTGAAACCTGGGCAATCCAGACTGAGAGATGTATCCAGAGGCACCCTCAAACTGCACACCTGTGTTACTCCAGACAACAGAGTATCAAAATCCTAAGAAGAATACAGTGGCCAATATGGAAAGCCAAACAATGGCCTGCAGATGGGAAACAATAAATATATATTCCAATCCAAGGTAATGTCAAAGAGTGCAGGAGTTATAGGACCATTGCATTAATTTTCCATGCAAAGCACAGCGTTATGCTCAAGATGTTGCAACATGGAGTGAGAAATACCTTCTGTTCAGGCTGGATTCCGAAAAGGAAGAGGTCCTAGAGACCATACTGCTAATACATAGCAGAACATATCAAATCCTAACTTCTTGATGTTCAAGTAGGATAATGTCAACAGCCTTTGACAGTATTTGGTGGGTTTAGGACCCACATACATTACCTTGCTGTTTTGTAAGGGCCCAAGCCTTGACAACAAAACCCAGCAGGAAACGGGGACGGTTCCTTTAAAAGAAGCAGGAAATGAGGTGTTTGAGAGTTATTTCCAAATAGCTTTTTTTAAAAAAAGGCAATTTCCTGGTTTCCCAGATCATCTTGGCTGCGTTCTGAAGCTCTGGGGTTGGTGAGGTGAAGAGACATGGATGTCCCCGAGGTATCAAAAAGGATGTGTACTGCTGAGGGGGAGAAAGGATCTTGAGAAAATAGGGAGAATGGAGAGGCGGAAACTGGCTGGCCATAATGTCAACAGCCTTTGACAGTATTTGGTGGGCTTAGGACCCACATACACATGCTGTTTTGTAAGGGCCCAACCCTTAACAAAATCCAGCAGGAAGCGGGGATGGCTCCTTTAAAAGAAGCAGGAAATGAGGTGTTTGAGAGTTATTTCCAAATAGCTTTTTTTAAAAAAAGGCAATTTCCTGGTTTCCCAGATCATCTTGGCTGCGTTCTGAAGCTCTGGGGTTGGTGAGGTGAAGAGACATGGATGTCCCCGAGGTATCAAAAAGGATGTGTACTGCTGAGGGGGAGAAAGGATCTTGAGAAAATAGGGAGAATGGAGAGGCGGAAACTGGCTGGCCGAACAAGTTCCAGCACATCTCGGAGAGACTCAGCCGAGATCCACGCTTCGTAGTGCACAGCAGATATTCACAACCCAATTTGTGGCAAAATTTTATAGCTATAAAACGGTTGCCTGATGGGGCAGACGTCCCAGAAACGTCTGCCGTGGCATTCCCAGGACAGCCAAGGACCATGATATAAAGAAGACCTTGGCAGCCCTTTTCCTGCCTACATCTTCTTCATTGCCTCCATGAATACACACCAGTGGGTACCTGGATCGCGCGGCGGTTTAGATTTCCCGGGTTGCGAGTTCGAATCCCCCCACCCTGGTGCTTACCGGGGCTGGACTGGATGACCCACAGGGTCCCTTCCCGCTCTGCAGCTCTAAGATGACTCTTATTAAGTTGAGCTGTTTGAGAGCCCCCCCCCTTTCCATCCCCTGCTCCGGCTTCACTGGAGGGGGGGGGCAGTTTTTCAAAGGCCACTTATTAAGTTGAGCTGTTTGAGAGCCCCCCTCTTCCATCCCCTGGAGGGGGGCAGTTTTTCAAAGGCCACGCAACCCGCCGGGCTTGGGGTCCTCCAAAGGCACAGGGGGGGGAGGCGTTGAGAAAAGACAGCCTTGCTGCGCCCCCCCCCCAAGTCCATCCGTGCGCCACGATCGGAGAGCGCACGGGCCGTGGCGCGCCAAGCTCGTGCGCCCCTTGGAGCGCCTTTGCCCCCCTTGCAATGCGGAGAGAAGGGGGGCAGGGGCCGGGCAGCCTACTTTCCCTTTCCCCCGGGGTAGGGGCGAGCAAGAGGGGCGGCTTCCCTCGCCTTCAACCCCGATCCGATCCCTACCCCCAGGGTTTTTTCCCCCCAGCCCGTGCGCCCTCGCCTCTCCATTCCCCCGGTTTGGCGAGGGCGCACGCGGGGAGGAGTCTGGCAGGGAGGAGCCGCTCCTCCTCCTCCTCCGTTGACTTCCAACAGCTGCACAGAGGCGGAGGGAGGGGGGGATCGGAGCTACACGCGAGTCGGCCAGGGCTTGGGCGAAGCAGATCGCCCCCGGAGCCTTGGCGATCCCCCCTGGCCGGCTGGAGACGCCCTTGGGTGACAGGTGAGCCTTCCCGGGAGGTGGGCTCTGGGTGGGGGGGGAGACACTAAGCGTTTTGGGGGAGATCGGCTCGGGACCTTTGAGAAGGGCGTTGAGCTGGGCTGCAAGAGGAGGAGAGGGGGTAAGGAAAGGGCCTGACGCTTCCGCGGTGCCTGCCCGGTTACACAACCCCCGCCGCCCTCTTTTTTCTTTTTTTCTGGCGGCGAAGTTGGCTCGACCCACGGATTCCGTTGCTCTTGATCTTGCTCTGTTTATAGCCGGTCGTGTTTCTTTGGGGTGGGGTGCCTGTGCGTAAATGGAGCCACTGGGTGAGTGACTTTCGGTTTTGGAGAAAAGGAGAGAAAGATCGAGGACTGGGGGAGTCTTGCGTTCAGGGTGCCAAAAGCCCAGGGGCTTCCTGCGCTCTCTTCTGCAGGGCACTCCCAGAATCGGGCCCCCAAGAAAAGAGAGAGAGAGAGAGAGAGAGTGAGAGTCCCTTCCAGGCAGGCAGCAGCTGGGTCCAGATCCGTCCACAAACCCACTTCCAGCGGTGCCCACTCTTACCAGGAGCAGATCTTCTGCAAAGCTAACGGTTCTGACTTCCCCTGGTCAAGGCCAAGTCAGCCTCAGAGACTCAGCCCAACCCTGCAAGGTTGCCAACATTTGCACTGCTTGGACCCGGCCCTTCCCTGGTCTGACTTTGAACCGATTAGGGAAGCATGCCTTGAATAAAATAATAATAATACAAACTCACTTAACTCAGGCTTAAGTCCTCTCTCGCTCGCTCGGTCTCTGCTGCAATGCTGGGCTCCTCACCCCAGATCCATGGACGCTCAGGCCTCGGCTCTGGAGCTGGCCCCCATGGAACGGTTTCCTCTGAACCGCTTGGCAAAGCCGGCCACTCGGAGGCCTCCCGCTCCTCGGGGTTTCGACTTCTGTCCCTGCGGAGGAGTTTTGCCAAAATGTGGGATCCCCCAGGAAGGATCCTCGGCCTGCCTGCTCACCCCGGGACGGCTTAGGGCTCTCAGTAGACACCCACACGAGGTCCATGGTGGCGAAAATCGACTTCCTCGCCGCTGTCGTAATATCCCTCGTGCCAAGGAAAGGTGAACCTGAGAAGCCGGGATTCCCTCGGCCAAGCCGTTGTTGTGTTTGTCTAAAATATTGAAACCACGGAGTCTCTCCAAAAGAATTCACAGGCAGTAGCGAGGAAAGGAAGCCGTTTTCGGACACCGTTTATGATGGATGTGTGGAACTTGCGAGGGGAAGATTGGAATGGCTGTGAGCCTGGTGGGCTGCTAAAAAAACCCCAACAACCCTGTTTTGGTCCATTTAGTGGAACCTCTTGGTTCAGGGGCAGTCTATCCCTTTGAAGGCCAACCTGAGGAAATAGCAAGGGGAGGTGGTTATGTGTTCTTGGCCTGGGCTTGTGAGCCAGTTATCTTACAGGCCAGGGTTTTGAGACAAGATCTTGGGCTACCAGTCACATTGGCCTAATCCAGCCGGGTGCTGATGCTTATGGAGACGTGGTCTATCCCTGTTCTGAACATGCGAACAGAATTGGCTTGTCTGATAGGGGGTGGGCTTGTTCTTCACAGTCCCCCCCTTCTCAAACCCAGCCCGAACCTCACTTGTTTCTGCCTGGAGGGGAAGTGCCAAGTTTAGAAACTAATTCTCACCCAGAGCGAGCAAGAAGTGTTTACTTAGCTATTTTTTAAAAAAAATTATATACCGTCTCCTTAGTGCAAAAGCCCTATTCTGGCCGCTTCGACAAGTGAAAATATATTTTACATGATCAAGAGACGGAAGGTTAAAAACACCGACAGCATGGAAACGAAAGGCCACCAAAGGCGGATTCGCAGTCACAGCAGGATCGGGGTCTAAACCGAAACAGGATCTCTGGGGCTCATTTCTGGGCTGGAGGATGAATTTACCGGCAGATTGGAAGCTGCCTTCGGTCTATCCCTTGGATAAGTATGCCTGGTGTAAAAAGAGGAAGAGGAGGACGTGAAAAAAAAATATTGATCCTTATCCCTTGGATAAGTATGCCTGGTGTAAAGATAGGAGGAGGAAGAGGAGGCTGTGAAAAAATATATTGATCCCTGGCCAGCATTCAGAACTGGACTGGTTCTATGTAAAGCTGAAACGAATATGTTCATGAGAGTACGGTGAAAAAGCACAGCTAAGCAAGGAAAACCCTTGTTAATGTCTTTTGCGTGACTTTGTGTGTGTGTGTGTGTGTATGGAGCCTATCATTCCCACAATCCCCCCACCACACCCTTAACGATGTTGATTAGGGACGATGGGAGCTGCCCTTCGATAACACACACACACAGACACAAATTATTATTATTTTAAAAATGTATAACTTCTGAACTATTAACGAGAAAGCCCGGGGCCGTGTTCCTGGCCTCAAAGTGGAGTCCGCTCATTCCTCCCAGGAAAAAAAGGAAGCTGAAAATATGTTCTGGTGCTTTTGTTAGTTGTTTCTCCCCCCCTTTCCCCCTCCCCTTAATTTCCACCATATGTTTTGTGTGTGTGTTGCAGCCTTTCCCCCCCCCTCCATGTTGATGTGGCAACAGAGCTTAGAGAGTAAGTGTCCTGAACAGGCCTGTTTAGTATATTGTTATGTAAACGAGTCGTTACTTGGAAATTTGCATGTGAGGCAGAGTAGACTTCTGGGTCTAGCTGGGCGGGGTATAAATTTAATTAATAAATAAATAAAGAGGTAAATGGGCTGCTTTGTTTCTAAGAGTACTAGGAGGGCCCTGGAGCAATTTAGTTGCACGATTCGAACTGTGTGAATAAATAAATAAATAAATAAAGAGGTGAATGGGCTGCTTTGTTTCGAAGAGTACTAGGTGGGCCCTGGAGCAATTTAGTTGCAGGTTTCGAACTGTGTGTCTCTCCTCTTGTGGTTCTGCTTACAGAGGCATTGCAAGATACCTTACCGCCTGAGGCAAAAGGCAAGATTTCCCCCCCCACTCCATTTTGTGGGAGTATATTGTATTTTTGCCGTTTCTTCCCCAGCGTCTGGAAATGTCACTCTTTCCCATCTGCTGTTTCGTAGATCCTGCCAATGGTACACCCATGCCCGCCGGTTGGCTTGCTTTTCCAAGCATTAAACACAGGCAAAGTGTCAAGAATCGCAGAACAAGGAAGTGGGAAGAGGGGGCCCCCCCCACTCCATTTTGTGGGAGTATATTGTATTTTTGCCGTTTCTTCCCCAGCGTCTGGAAATGTCACTCTTTCCCATCTGCTGTTTCGTAGATCCTGCCAATGGTACACCCATGCCCGCCGGTTGGCTTGCTTTTCCAAGCATTAAACACAGGCAAAGTGTCAAGAATCGCAGAACAAGGAAGTGAGAAGAGGGGCCCCTCAGAGGCCATCTAGTCCAACCCCCTTCTCAAGGCAGGAATCGAAATCAAAGCAGATCTGATGGACGGTTGTCCAATTTCCCCTTGAAGCACTCCAGCGCTGGAGCGCTCGCCACCTCCCGAGGTCCTCAGTTCCATTGTCGTACTGATCTAACAGTTGAGAAGTTTTTCCTGATATTCGGCCGAAATCTGGTTTCATGTAGCTTGAGCCCATTATGGCTTGTCATGCACTCTAGGATGACCGAGAACAGATCCTGCTTCTCTTCTGACTGACCTTTTCAAGGATCTGAAAAGGGCTGTCCTCTCTCCCCTCCGGCTTCTTTTCTCAAGGCTAAACCTGCCCAGTTCTTTCCATCTTTCCTCCAAGGGCTTGGTTTCCATCCCCCCTCATCATCCTTATTGCCTCCTCTGAACTTGTTCCAATTTGTTAGCATCCTTCTTGAATGGTGGCGTCCAGAACGAGACACAGCATTGAAGACGAGGCTTCACCAGTGCCAAATAGAGAAACTAATACTTCATGGGATTTGGAGACTATACTTTTGTTAATACAGCCTAAAATCGCATTTGCTTTTTTTGCAGCTGCATCACCCTTTGGGCTTTCCGGCTTTGATCTGCATCAATTCCAAGATCCTTCTTACTTTTAGTATTACTGAGCCACCCTTTGGTTTCTTCCCCACTAGGCCTAGAATGTTGCATTTATCCCTGTTAAAATTCATTCTGTGGTTTTTCAGTGCTCAAGCCTATTAAGATCTTTTTGAATTGTGTTCCTGTCTTCCAAGGTATTAGCTATTCCACCTTATTTTGTATCGTCCACAAATTTGATAGGTGTTCCGTGCACTGTCTCATCCAAGTCGTTAATAAAAGCGTTGAAGAGCTGCGGGGGTTTCATAGGTGACAGAAGTAGAGCAAGTAGTCCATATGATTCTGTGACTGCTCAGGCTTCATAAATTTCGGGTGTTGTTTTTGCAGCCGTTACTCTGGCAGTCACACCAGATCAGCCGAGATAATAAGTAGGGAGAATACTCAGGGTTCAGTGCACATATCTTGTGACTCACCAGAGCCATGAAATCATTGGAAAAGTAATTTTTGGACCCACCCCACTGGGGATCACAAATGCGGTTTCTGGAAGCTGGAGTCTTAAAAAGTAACTTTCCCCCCATCCGTGTCCTACAAACTCCATCCGAAGATAAATATTGAAATATCAATCATCTTGAATTGTCAGCTGCCTGGCTCTCAATGGGACATTCCACCCTGCCGAAGACATAAAAACATAAGGAAGTTGATTTGGATCTAAGGCAAATTACCATTACGGGCGGGTGGATGGTGTTCACCATGTCTGTTGCGTGGGGTTAAGATGGCCTGCAGACAGAATTTATTTATTTATTATTAAGTGCATGTCTCTCTCTTTCCTGCCATGTAGGGGATATAAGGTGAGATTTTTAAAAGAACGTTTATCCCATGCTAGCCTCTCCAGTTCCGCAAAAAAAAAAATTGTCTAAAGCTGGAAGGACAGCAGGGAGGCCCCACTTGGTTTCCAGTGGATGGGAGTTCCACAGTCCTGTCCTCTCCGCTCTTGCCTTTAGAGCAGTGGATCTGAAAACTGGAGAAGCACATGTGGGAGGTGTGGTCTTGACTACTAATAAAGAA